AGGGAGGGAGGGAGGGAGGAGGAGGAGGAGGAGGAGGAGGAGGAGGATATGCTTCTCGCAATGCTCCCAGGGCATGAGGGGACGAGAGACGAGAGGGGACGACCTGAGAGGAGGGGACGGGCCAGGGCACGGGACGGTCACGGAGGTGAAGCACGGCCAGCAGAAGGGGAGGGGAGGAGGGGCGCGGGGGAGGGCGTGAGGGCCAGGCCACGGGAGGCGGCATGGGAGGGGCAGATACGACAGGGATGAGGGGGGGTCTTGGGGGATAGGGGAGGAAAGGATATACCGGAGGTGGGGGGAGGAGATCCATGAAGGAAAAGGATGTGGACAGGAGGGGGAGACCGAGGAGGGAATGCGGGGAGGGCAGGGGAGGTCATGGCAGGAAGGTCGGGGAGACAAACTGGGAAGGGCGGGCGGGACGGCCAGTGAAAGGAAGGGCGGACGGAAAGAGAGTGAGGAAGGATCATCTGGGAAGAGCAGAAGGGTTGTTGAAAGGGGGAGGGGAAGGACGGGGTAAGGTTCGGCAGAGGTGAAACGCCTCGGAAGGGAGGGGATGCATAATGAATGGGAGGGAAGGGCAAGGGAGGAGAGATGGGGAGGGGATACGAGCTTCGAACAGAAGGACAGGAGAGAAGGGTATGGGAGGTGAAAGGACGAGGTGAGGGGATGCGAAGAGGCGGTCGGAAGGCAGACGGAGAGGGGAGGGGAGTGCAGGCAAGGAGAGCAGGGGCTTAGGAATCATCATTCAGAGGGGTTTTGACCTACCCCCACTTTCGGTTCCTAGGAACACCATGTTATACCATGCACCCGTGGCGTAGTAGCCTCCGAGTCACCGCCCCCGTTACACCATCCTGTGCCATATCACGGCATTTCCAGAAACTGAACACGATAACGTTTTGGAGGGCACGGGGGGAATATGGAATCATAATGGGAATAGCCGGCACAGTGCCAATAATATTTGAAGTGCAGTGCCAGAAACAGTGGCACCATATTGGGCAATTCCGTAGTGTCCCAAAGACGTTTTGTATGTTAGAATGTGTGCGCGTATGGTCATTCGTTTGCGCAGGGAGCAAGCACTTTAGTATTGTTTGATTCTTGCTGGAAGCGAGGGTGGCCAAAGCAAGGCAGGCACTCGCGCGCCTTACCGGGTAAGGGAAAGGGTGAGGCGGGAGGATGCTTGATGGTCGCTGCATGAGGGAAACACATCCCAAACACAGCAATACGCTCCATGAGATCTGTCAGTATCCTCCAGCGCGTAACGGTGGTACTTATGGGGGGATGAAACTCTCCCACACATGAAGGTGTTCGCGCGCGTACCATTGCGACCTCATCGCACCCTCGCCCAGACATGCTTCACCCTGCCGAGCGTTACCGTTACCCGCCCCCCCTCGTCCGTTAACGGAAATGATAGAGAAACAATCTCCACGAACACGATGCCGACGACGACGGAGACAAGGCAAGTTGGCAATCCGTATCGAAGCACGCGGCGGTCCGTCGTGGTCGTCGTTGTCGTCGTCGTCGTCGTCGTCCATGGGGAGATCAAAAAATACAGATACCACCCTTCCCCGGACCTCTCCTGGGGTGCGTTCTGAGCAGGATCTCGAGGCGAGTCCAACCGGGGCGACGAGAGCTTCCCAGGAGGCCCACAAAGAGGAACAACTAGGCAAGTGTAGCGTCGGTATCTTTCTCTCGTCGTCGCCGTCGTCGTCGTCGTCGTCGTCGTCGTCGTCGTCGTCGTCGTGTTCAACCCTGCGAGGTGGGCGGGTGGGCGCGAGGCGCCGCGCGCGCGCGCCATCGCCGCAGGGGCTGGCGAAGGGCGCGCCCGCGGAGCACGTCCAGTCTTCCCTCGAGCTCCTCGCGGAGGCCTCCTCCTCCTCCTCCTCCTCCTTCCCCTCCACCTCCTCCTCCCCCTCCTCCTCCTCCTCCTCCTCCTCCTCAGAGTACGTCTCTAGGCCTCCTGGATGGGGTCGGAGTAGGTGGGATTGGAGGATCGCGCCGCATCGCCGATGCATCGGCGATGCGGCTCGGTGCGGAGCCCGATTTTCTTTACGCCTACGTCGCCGACGCATCGCCGACGTTGCCGATGCATCGTACATCCATCGTCGATGTATCGGTGTTGCATCGGTGTTGGATCCTCTGACCCATTCCCTCGGACCCCATCTAGGAAGCCTCGTAGAGTGGCAAGATGCCATGATAATGATACGTCCCGCAATGTCCAAGATTCTGCGGATTCCCAAGATGTCCTAGTGTTCTACACGGGTGTCAGAAATGAGACACGCTAGACATTCTGGAAGTCTTGGAGCGCAGCCTGAGCCAATCCTACCATGGCATCATGCCAGTCCCAGTCGCGACTCTCTCGAATTGGAGCTGGCATGGGGGTCTGAGGTGGCCCAGCATGGGCTGCGACCAGCGGGAAGGTGGTGCCAGCTTCGAGGTTCCTGGACTCGGGAAGGTGTCTTTGTTGCCTCTCGCGGCCTCTGGGGGGCCGCTCTCGGACCCCCCGGGACTGCCAAGAACAGGTCCGGGGTGACAGTTGCACCACGCGTCCTCCGGCAGGGCTCCGAGGACCGATTTTCGACGGATTTGCCTTCGTCTCCCTCTTGACGGAGTTTCTCGGGGCCCGCTCATCTCAGATCCCCTTGCCGACTCCATCCCGAGTGGTCGTCACGAGCGGTGAGCATATCCGTATCCACGCCTTCGCGGTCTGGATTCCAGAGCGTGGTCTCGCGGATACGCGGCCGCACGGATACGCTCCGCGCGGAACACTTGCGAAAGAACGCCCCGTATCCACGGGGTCATGGCCCCTGGGCCCAGCCCGCAAGGCCGCGGATACAGAGATGTGCCTCGCCCAAGGTATCAGGGCCTCCAATTTTCGCGCCGGCGTTGCCCCAGATGGCATTCAGCACGAATGTTCCCCGATCGCATTCTGTCCCATGCAGATGCTGTCCAGTACTTCCTTGAAGCAGTAGATCTTCCGGATCAAGCGGTTCCAGGGTTTTCACGGATCGCATTTGGGGACAGCAGAGTTTTACCGGGACCAGGTTTGTCCCAGATACTTCGGGTGCCGAGTCTGTAGCTCTTTGAAGTTTGGAGCCATTTGGAGGAGTTGAGGTGGGGCATCCTTGTTTCCGGCCCATGGGAAGGGGGAGGGGCACCATTGTGTCCAGATTGGCATTGGATGCCGCCGTCGCCCCCTTTCACCTCCTGATTGGTTTTGTGGTGCCTCCTTAAGATTGGCATCACCGTCTCCGGGTGCTGATCTCGAACGTTCCCCGAGTTTCTGACAGTGTATCCTTGAGATGATCACCGCCTTGGGCATATCAATCTTAGGGGTAGTGATGGGCTCGAGGTTCGTTAGGTTTCGCTCCCATATCATGATCGTGGCCCCCCAGGTTTGTGAGACCACGGTCGATGGCTTGCAAGGTGCGCCGATGGTCTGAAGAACGCGACGACGGTTTGCCGCACGATCCGTCGAGTGGGTTGCCGATGGCCCGCCGAGTCGTTCGTGACCCAGACTCAGATGAGTTGTTGAACGAAGATTCGACGATTTGGTTTTGCAGTCGTCACTGCAGCCACAGAGCATCAAAGACGCATCGGCGCTGCATCTGTCATGCCCCCCTCACTCTTGGAGGAGGGCGACGAAGTGGAGGTGAAGAAGGAGGGCGAAGGTGAGGAGGAGGAGGAGAAGGAGGCGGAGGAGAATCAGGAGCAGGAGGAGGGCCTAGTTACTTATCTTGCCGCCTTCGCGCTTGTCATCAAGCCTGTCTTGGGGGTGGGCGTGACTTTCGGGCTCAGCTCCTCCGTAAGGCCCTTGGGATCATGAAGAACATGAGCTTTACCCTCCTCTCCCCCGCCGCCTCCACCTCACTCTCGATATGCATCCGAGGTGATCCCTGATTCTATAGGCTTACGCCACATCCGCCGACCCTTTTTTTTCCGCGTGGTCGTTATCACGGCTTCTTTGCAAGCTGCGGGAAAGATCCAGGTGGTGACCTTGAACTGTGTTCGGGTGCTGTTGGGCGGGCCGTCGCGCATGGGCGCCGTTTGGGGGGCCCTGTCGCGGGGGGTATCAGGCATGCACGGGGTGTTTGGGGGTTCTCTCCGAGGGTTCCGTGGTCGTCCTTGGGGCTTTTCGGGTGGTGGAGTCGGGGCAGTACGTTGCACGCCGGAGACATCTCAAGGGTGTCGGCGGATGCCGTCCGGGAGTACTGTGGATTATCATGGTCGGAGTCTTTCGGGTAGTGCGTTGCCAGGTGACGAAGATGGTCCAACTGACACGACGGCGACCATGACGACGATGGTGGTGCTGCTGATGATGACGACGATGACGACGTTAATGACAATGGCGACGACGATGAGGAAGCTGATGGTGATGATGATGGTGGTGGTGGTGATGATGATGATGGGGAAGATGAAGATGAGGGTGAGGATGAGGATGAGGATGACGAGGAAGAGAAAGAGGAGGAGGGAGGAGGAGGAGGAGGAAGAGCAGCAGGATGAGGAGGAGGAGGGAGGGGGAGGGAGGAGGAGGAGGAAGAGGAGGAGGAGGAGGAGGAGGAACGATGATGAGGTGGAGGAGGAGGAGGGGGAGGAGGGATGAGCAGGAGGCAAAGATTGACAGTCTGGGTCACGGGCCCCCGCGTCCGAGGACGCAGGTGCGAGCTCACTCTTTCTCTTGAGGCGAATGCGGAGGATGAGGAGGAGAAGTCGGCTTAAAATGGAGCCCCGGACTTGTCCGCGGGTCCGATGGGCTCGAGGTTCGTTAGGTTTCGCTCCCATATCATGATCGTGGCCCCCCAGGTTTGTGAGACCACGGTCGATGGCTTGCAAGGTGCGCCGATGGTCTGAAGAACGCGACGACGGTTTGCCGCACGATCCGTCGAGTGGGTTGCCGATGGCCCGCCGAGTCGTTCGTGACCCAGACTCAGATGAGTTGTTGAACGAAGATTCGACGATTTGGTTTTGCAGTCGTCACTGCAGCCACAGAGCATCAAAGACGCATCGGCGCTGCATCTGTCATGCCCCCCTCACTCTTGGAGGAGGGCGACGAAGTGGAGGTGAAGAAGGAGGGCGAAGGTGAGGAGGAGGAGGAGAAGGAGGCGGAGGAGAATCAGGAGCAGGAGGAGGGCCTAGTTACTTATCTTGCCGCCTTCGCGCTTGTCATCAAGCCTGTCTTGGGGGTGGGCGTGACTTTCGGGCTCAGCTCCTCCGTAAGGCCCTTGGGATCATGAAGAACATGAGCTTTACCCTCCTCTCCCCCGCCGCCTCCACCTCACTCTCGATATGCATCCGAGGTGATCCCTGATTCTATAGGCTTACGCCACATCCGCCGACCCTTTTTTTTCCGCGTGGTCGTTATCACGGCTTCTTTGCAAGCTGCGGGAAAGATCCAGGTGGTGACCTTGAACTGTGTTCGGGTGCTGTTGGGCGGGCCGTCGCGCATGGGCGCCGTTTGGGGGGCCCTGTCGCGGGGGGTATCAGGCATGCACGGGGTGTTTGGGGGTTCTCTCCGAGGGTTCCGTGGTCGTCCTTGGGGCTTTTCGGGTGGTGGAGTCGGGGCAGTACGTTGCACGCCGGAGACATCTCAAGGGTGTCGGCGGATGCCGTCCGGGAGTACTGTGGATTATCATGGTCGGAGTCTTTCGGGTAGTGCGTTGCCAGGTGACGAAGATGGTCCAACTGACACGACGGCGACCATGACGACGATGGTGGTGCTGCTGATGATGACGACGATGACGACGTTAATGACAATGGCGACGACGATGAGGAAGCTGATGGTGATGATGATGGTGGTGGTGGTGATGATGATGATGGGGAAGATGAAGATGAGGGTGAGGATGAGGATGAGGATGAGGATGACGAGGAAGAGAAAGAGGAGGAGGGAGGAGGAGGAGGAGGAAGAGCAGCAGGATGAGGAGGAGGAGGGAGGGGGAGGGAGGAGGAGGAGGAAGAGGAGGAGGAGGAGGAGGAGGAACGATGATGAGGTGGAGGAGGAGGAGGGGGAGGAGGGATGAGCAGGAGGCAAAGATTGACAGTCTGGGTCACGGGCCCCCGCGTCCGAGGACGCAGGTGCGAGCTCACTCTTTCTCTTGAGGCGAATGCGGAGGATGAGGAGGAGAAGTCGGCTTAAAATGGAGCCCCGGACTTGTCCGCGGGTCCCTTCAAGTAGTTTTTGTCTCCGGGTCGATTTTCGGCGGTCTCGGGCCCCGAACCCGGGCTCGAGGGGTTCAAAACGCCGAGGGGCCTTCGAAGCAGCTGCCCCCCGGGGAACAAGGGCTGGGCCGGTCTCCCCTGGGGGGGTCGTTGTCGTCGTCGGCGCCGTCGCTGCCGCCGTCGCCGCCGCCGCCGCCGTCGTCGTCATCGTCGTCGTCGTCGTCGCAGTCGTCGCTTGTCGTTCGTCGGTATCCGATCTTCCCATCGAAAGGGCGGCAATGGTTCTTGGACGGGCATCGGGAACATCCAGTGTTGAGTGTGAAGCGCACGCAGTTTATAATAACCCTGTCTTTGGCAGTGACGGCGCACTCTGCGCAGGGCCGGACCGCGGCCGCAGTGATAGCTGACCTTGAAAGAGGGCGCGGCGTGAGTTGGATGTCCAGTTACGTTGCCATCACGCGCGTGCGCAGGCGACAGGACCTTCTGATTTTCCGGCCTTTTGACAGGAGACCGTACAACGCAGGTGAGATGGAGGGCGCGAAAAAACTGCTGCAGGTGCTACGAGGGGAGAGCTTCGATTGGGACGAATGGGAGGCGGAACTAATGCCACGAGACCAGCGCGAGCGCTGCCGGCGGAGGTTGTTGGTAGAGGCGTTCACGAAGTACGAGTTCCAGAGGAAGGACAGACCGGCGTTCTGCAAAGAATGCGCGGAGGAGATGAAAAAACGCAGGCGTAAAATGGTGCACGACGTGCAGAGGGCGGGCAATGAGAGCAGAGGGTGACGACGCGGCGCGGCAAGGTGGCGGTCGGAACGCGGACGCGGCGCCCGAGAAAGGGGACACGAAAAGGATTAGGACAATGTACTGCGCAAAGTGCAGGGATGTCAAGGCGAAACAGAACTCGCGCACTGGCAGCGCGATGTGGAACGAGAGTGTTGGAACAGTGCGGTGTTCGAACGATAAGTGCCTGTCGCTGTGTGGGGACAAGGCGGAGATGTCGGAATCTCAGAAGAAGCAGAACGCAGCGGGAGAACGTGCGGGAGAACGTCAGAGGGCGACGCTTGCGTCGTATAATAAAAAAACGCGTGGTCACATTGCGGCGTTCGAACGGCCACTGCCTGTCGGAGTTCCAAGAGGGGGCGGGGATGTCCGAAGCTCAGAAGAGGCAAAATGCCGCGGGCGGAAGACTCTGTCGGAAATGCGCGGAAGAACGAGAGAAAGAGGTACGACGGGGGAATGCGGAGGCAGCGAATCGCAAACGGAAAGCCGAGGCAGGCGCGAAGGCACTGGCGCGCGCGGCGCGCGGAGGAGCGTTCTCAGACACGAAACATTTGAAACCGACGCAAGTGGAACATCATAGAAAGGCGAAAGGAACCAAAGTGGTGTGCAGAGGTTGCGAGGAACTCGGGTTCAACGCGCGCAGTTACCAAGGGTATCAGTGCACCGGCGCATGCAAGAGGAAACTGCCGAAGTCGGCGTTCCCCGACCCGCGCAATGTCCCGCGCGACGCAAAGAAGGGCACTCTGAAGTGCAAGACATGCACATGATGCCCAATCGGGCGCGCGTGCTGGGGAGAAAAAGGAGGACGGGGAGAGAAGGATGGGGGGTGAGGCGGAGAATGGGGGGGAGAAGCATCGAAGAGGATGAGGTGAACCGGGGCAGGAAGAGGAGGAGGGGGACGACGAGGAGGTGGCGGAGGAGGAAGAGGAGGGGGGCACTGAGATCAGGCTCTGGGTTATGGGATGTGGGGTAGAGGCTTGTGGTATGTGTATGGGGAAGGAGGAGGCAAGGGAGGAGGAGGAGGGGGACACGGAGACAAGGTGCTGGGTCATGGGTTATGAGTTAGAGGCTTCAAGTATGCGTATAGGGATCTCGCGGCACGCCTCTCGGGGGCTCGAGGAGTGCAGTTTTGAAGCCACTGGGGGGCCGTTTCGGGGCCTCTGGGGGACTTCCACGAAGGCGCTGCAGCGCGTCGGGCAGCGCGCGAATGCTCTGGACAGTGGGGAGGAACAAAGCAAGAGACGGAGACGACGGGGGAGGAGAAGGAGGAGGAGGAGGAGGAGAAGGAAAAGAAGGGGTAGGAGGAAGAGGAGGACGAGGACAAGTGAGGATCTTGTCGTGGATCCTGAGAGGGATATTTCTCGAATGGCCCGAGGCGCGTCCCGCGAATCCCGCTGCCGTGCCGGGGTTGTGAGTCTGAGGCCAGTGGAGTATTATTTGGGATCTCGTGGTCGGCCTCTCGGAGACCTCAAGTGGTACCGACCAAGTACCACGCGAGGTGCGTCGTCCGTGTGCCTCAAACGGTACCGCCCGCACTTTGGAGGCCCTTTGGGAGCTATTTTGGGCCTTTTGGATGCCTCTTTTGGGCCTCTTGGGGCCTGCTTGGGGCCTCTTGGGGGTTTCTTGGGGGCCTCTTGGGGGACCTCTTGGGTGACCTCTTGGGGCTTCCTGGGGGCGCCTGGGGGCCGAAGCCTCGACATGAGATTTCTTTCCCCCCTCTTGGCCCCCTTTTGGGCCCGTCTTGGGGCCCTCTTGGGGCGTTTTCGGCGCCTATGGGGCCGTCTTGGGGCCATATTGGGCCGTCTTGGGGCCATTTTGGGGGCATCTTGAACCGCTTCGGGGCGGTATTCAGGGCTTCGGGGGCCGTGTTGGAGCGTCGGGAAGCCGAAAAGGCGAAAAGGCAAAAACAAAAAAAAACACCGTAAAACATGATGGAAAATCACAAGTTTTAGCATTTCGGGGCCCTCTTGGGAGGCTTATGTGGGGCCTCCGGGGCCGTCTTGGAGGCCTCGGGGCCCGACTTGAGGCCATCTTGGGCGTTTTCGAGCGCCCAGTTGGCGTCTCGGGGACCTCGTGGCCCGTCTTGGAGGCCACTTGGGGCCTTCTGGGCCCGTCTTGGGGCCCTCTCGGGCCCGAAAAAGCCTCGTGAGTCGCTCGTGCCGGGCCCGGGGGAGAGGGGCCATCAGGGGGGGGTCAAATCGCCGGCTTGGGGGTCCCAGGGGGGGACTAGAGGGGGGGGAACTATCTCACACGCCTAGAGACCCACAAGGGGTCGGCGGATTCCAAATCCTGTGGCTAGCCAGGCCTCGGAATGGCTGGGGAAATGTCCGATCCCGACGTCATTGCGTCTGGGCTCATCCCATTGCCCCCCCCCTCCATCCAGTATGGGATGTCGAACTTGCACATCACATCGCTATGTGTGATTGCAGCTTGCAAGACTCCAGCCCGAACCCAAGACATGCCAGAGATGGCGACGTGTTGGGAGACAGCATGTATCAGTTGAGTGGAGACGGTTGTAATTCACAGGGGGTCATGGGCACACGTGCTCTTACGGCAGGTTCGCGTTTTGTCGACGCGGCGGCGACCCCTCCGCGGGCCTTCAAGGTCGAGTACCGCCCGCGGGCCAGCGCCCGCCAACACGGAACGATCTGGCGATCGAAGCGCCGCCCGTCGCCCAGCTCACCCCGGGGGGGCCGCCGAAGGTGATGACGCTTCGCGCGTCGCGTGTGCGCGTCTGGTCCGCACGCTGGTCTGGGGAAGCGAGCGACTTCCAAAGGACAACCGTGAAGTTTCAATCCCCGCCGCTCAGGCGCCCGCGCTGCCGCCGCGCCTCCCAGCACCAGGAGGCGCCAGGAGAACGGGCCACGTGAGCGGAGTCTCGACCGCACCCCTGGAGGGAAAGCAGACGCCGGTGAGGACCGATGCCAAGGAACCATTTTGCAAATATAGGGAGTGTGGGGGGACGGTGAGCACCCAGATGATGTGGAACCTGCAGGGGGTCCTGGGAGTGGTGTGCACTTGTCTGTGTGTCCTGGGGCCCCCGTCACGGATTCCCTACCGTAGCTACCCTTCGCTTGTTCTACCCTCTCGCCCTCCCCGATGCTCGAGACGCCGGGTGTCTGGGATCCTGCACCGCTCGTGAGCCGTGGCCGGCCGGGTGTGCCCGGCAGGCGTTCGCGCTGCTGCCAGGCCGCCGAGCCTGCCGCGGGGGCGGCGGCACGCGCCCTCCCGCGCGCGCGGCGGCGCGCGCAGGTGGGCACCGCATGCGACGCCGCGCTGCTGTCGCGGGGGGGGGTGCGGCTGGCTTGGCATGGCTCGGATGCGTGCATGTTTCCTTCTGCGAGGAGCATCGAGGCGCATCCTTGACCAATTTGGCGAAGCAGCCACGCACGAGACCGACAAGAAGCGCAGGGAAGGGACGTCCCAGCGATGGCCAGTTGGGGGCAGCGTTGGCCATTGGCAATCGGCGGGTCCTGAGGGTTTCTCTTTTCGCCGTTTCCGGGCCCTCGGGGCCCTCCTCCACGGGCCCAGGGACGGCGGTCGGAGAACGGCTCGGGACGAAGGCCTCGTCCCGGGGAAAAGTCAGGAGGGAAAAACCACACACAGACACAATCCATCGTCGATCCCCGCGAAAACATGGGAAAATGTGGGAGGTGGGGGGAAGACAAAAACCCAGAACATATGGGAAACTGTAGGGGAATCTGTTTATTTGAGTGTATTTATTATTTGTGTGTCCTGGGGCCCCTTCAAAAAGGAGGCCGGGGGATTAAGGAGTCGCTGTGGGTTTTAGACGAAAATTTACGATATTTCACGTTGCTCCTCATCATTATGCTGATGTTTCCTCTCTCGCTTTCTCTCTCTCTCTCTCTCAATCTCTCCCACTCCCATTCCCAATACCATTACCATTACCATTCCCATCCCCATGCCCATTCCCAATCACATTACCATTACCATTACCTCTACCTTTATCTTTACCTTTACCTTTACCATTACCATGGTCATTGCAATTGCCATTGTCATTGCTATTGCCATTCCCATTGCCATTGCCATTACCAGTGCCGTTGCCATTGCCATTGTATTGCCATTGCCAGTCGCCACCCCGTTACCATTACCGTCACCATTACCATTCCCATTACCATTAGACACTACCATTACCATTGCCATTACCATTAGCATTACCAACACCATTGCCATTACCATTACCATTACCATTACCATTATCATCACCATTACCGCTGCCATCACCATATCAATCCCCATTCCCATCACCATTGCCATTACCGTTACCGTTACCAGTACCATTTCCATTACCATTACCATTACCATTGCCATTATCATTACCACTACCACTACCATTTCCATTCCCGTTCCCTTTCCAATTACCACTACGATTCCCATTACCATCCCCATTACCATTACCATGACCATGACCATTACCAGTACCATGACCAGTACCATTACCATTGCCATGGACATTGCTATTGCCATTGCCATTGCCGTTCCCGTTCCCATTCCCATTCCCATTCCCATTGCCATTACCATTGCCATCGCCATTGCCATTGCCATAACCGTTGCCATCGCTACCCCGTTACTATTGCCATAACCATTACCGTTACCGTGACCATTACCATTCCCAGTACCATTACCATTACCTCTGTCATTGTCATTACCATTACCATTGCCATTGCCATTGCCATTCGCCGCTACCATTACCATTGCCATTCGCCACTACCACTACCGTTACCATTGCCATTGCCATTCGCCACTACCATTACCATTGCCAGTACCATTACCATTTCGATTCACATGTCCATTCCCAATACCATTACCATTACCATTACCATTACCATTACAATTGCCATTGCCATTACCATTACCATTACCATTACCTCTACCTTTACCTGTACCCTTACCCTTACCGTTCCCATTTCCGTTACCACTACCATTGCCATTCCCATTCCCGTTCCCATTCATATTCCCATTCCCATTCACATTCCCATTCCCGTTCCCATTCACATTACCATTACCATTACCATTGCCATTGCCATTGCCATGGCCATTGCCATTGCCACTGCCATTGCCACTGCCATTGCCATTACCATTACCGTTGCCATTGTCATTGCCAATCGCTACCCCTTTACCACTATCATTACGGTTACCATTACCAGTACCATTACCATTACTTCTGTCATTACCATTACCATTCGCATTGCCATTGCCATTGCCATTAGCCACTACCATTACCATTGCCAGTACCATTTCCATTGCCATTCCCATGACCATTACCATTACCATTATCATTTCTATTGCCATTACCATTACCTTAACCTTTACCCTTACCCTTATCATTCCCATGTCCGTTCCCACTACCACTACCATTTCCACTCCCGTTCCCGTTCCCATTCCCACTCCCATTCACAGTCCCATTCCCGTTCCCATTCCCACTACCATTGCCATTACCATTACATTTACCATTGCCGTTGCTATTGCCAGGGCCATTATCATTGGTATTGTCATTGCCATTGCCAATCCGATTGTCATTGTCATTACCATTACTGTTGCCATTGTCATTGTCATTGCCATTGCCAATCGCTACCCCGTTACCATTACCGTTACCATTACCAGTACCATTATTATTATCTTTGTCATTACCATTGTCATTGCCATTGCCATTGCCATTGCCATTCGCCACTACCATTACCATTGCCAATACCATTTCCATTCCCATTCCCATTGCCATTGCCATTACCATTACCATTACCGCTGCCATTACCACTAGAATGCCCATTCTCATTCCCATTCCCATTCCCAATACCATTACCATTTCCATTACCATTACCAGTGCCATTACCATTACCACTACCACTACCATTTCCATTCCCGTTTCCGTTCCCATTCCCATTCCCATTCCCACTGCCATTAACATTACCATTACCATTGCCATTGCCATTGCCATTACCATTACCCTTACCTCTACCTTTACCTTTACCCTTACCAGTGCCATGGCCATTACCATTGCCATTGTCATTGCCATTCCCATTGCCATTGGCATTGCCATTACCATTACCGTTGCCATTGCCATTGCCATTGTCATTGCCTCGCTACCCCGTTACCACTATCATTACCGTAACCATTACCAGTACCATTACCATTGTCATTACCATTACCATTAGCATTGCCATTGCCATTGCCATTGCCATTTGAGGATTTCAGTAGGAATCATTCAGTGGAGGGTTTCAGTAGGAATCCACGTATGGAGGATTTCATTAGGAATCATTCAGTGGAGGGTTTCGATAGGAACCCTTCTGTCGAGGATTTCACTGTGAATCCTTCTTATGGGGGCGTTCAATAGGAATCCTTCTAGGGGGGAGGGCAGATGTGGCCACGTCGCATTCTTTTTTTTTTCTCCTGGCGTCGCCCCCCCCCAGATTTTTTTTTTGTTCTGGGGGGGGACGCCAGGAGAAAAAAACAAAAAGGGCAGAGAGGTAGGAGGAGGGGGAGAGGGAGGAGGAGGAGGAGGAGGCGGAGGAGGAGGAGGAGGAGGAGGAGGAGGACGACACAGAGCAGAGTTTGCACAGAAACAGTCGCGAACTCAGCGCGAAACCCTCGCGCGCGCGCTGTGGAACCCCAGCGGCTCCACAATCCCCCGTTCTCTCAAAAAGACCCTGGGGTCCAGGAGCCGTGCTTCCCTATGGACCCGTTTTCCCCCGCGCTGAACCGTTCGGAGGAGGAAAAGGTACCCACACCGCTGCCCCTCGCCCGTTTCTCCATGTGTCGCCTTCCTGAGGGGCCTTCGTCGCAACGTCGGGTGCGGCAGAGATTTGGCGTCGATCGGAGATGTGCATTTTTGTTTGGCGAGGCCAGCGCCAGAAAATGTGTCCCATGTTGGAACATCTTGGATCATCTAGAGCAAAGTACACGCGCGAAACCAATCAATGCAAGGGAAAGGACGTCCGAGCGATGGCAAGAGGAGGAGAAGGAGGCTGATGACCAGGGGGGGGATATCATGGCTTGGGCCAGGATATCTTCCCTGATTCCATGGCGCCTCTTTTTATTTCAAGACGTCCCTGGCCCCCACCCTGGGCAGCGCACATGCCGCCGGCCATGATTTGCACTCCCGCCTCTTGGACGCCCCCCAACTTGAGCGGGCCCCCATACCGCTACCTTTCGCCCGTTCTCCCTTTTTGTTCGGCCTTCTTCGCCCCTTGTCACCACCGTCGGATTTGCCTCCAGATTCTGGTCAGAACGCACCATGGGAGGGGTCTGGGGAGGAGTAGCGGTATCCTTCGCTTTTTTTGAGTACCCCAAGCGTTGGGATGGGGATAGGCTCAGGGGGAGGGGCATACACCCAGAATCGCCCATTCATCGCCGAGAGGGGCCCGATTGCCCGCCCCACATAGCAGCCTGCGGATTCGCTGTCGGGGGCCCATCGCCGATCTATCAGTGATGTATCGCCAATTCCAGGTCGATGTTTCCCCCCGCCTGTACCAGTCACACCCTGGTCTGATCGTTGCCCCTCAGGGAAGGCCAAGGTTGGCGTGGGGCAGGCCAAGGGCGACGTCAGTCGGCTTCGCTCCAGAGTGACCCTTTGCCGCAGTGGGCCTGGGTGTGCGCACACACCAGCTCGTTGAGTACGATGTTGCAGCACAGGCTTGTGCGCCTGAGTGTGGTTCCCCTCAAGCTGCGCACCGAAGGTCACTGTTGCCTAGAGTCACTCTTGCGCGCAGCCGAGCTGAACGGTGTTCTAGCGATTCCGTGGAGCATTGCTCGTTTTGTTTTTTGTTCAGCAGTGGCGGAGCGAAGGCAGAACGAGGGAAAACGGAAACAAAACGAAAACGGGAAACAGCGTTCAGTTCGAACCTTGGAGATCAAGGACAACCTTTGTCCAGGCCTCCCAGGTGGGGTCCGAGTCGATGGTGTCGGAGGATCGGGCCACATCGTCGATGCATCGGCGATCCGATCCCATCTATTCGGACCCTATCTAGGAGGCCTCGAGACATGTGGGGGGAAGGATGTCAAGGGCAACGCTTGGGAGGGGGGACGGGGGAGGGCTCGGGGAAGACTCGAGGTTCAAGGTTTTCGAAAGTTTTCGTCGGTTCTCTGCGGTTTTCCAGCCTCGGGAAGCCTTCAGCGGCTGCGCCTCGCCGAGGGCGTTCCATGGGGGGTGCCTGGATCGCCCCGACCGGCCGCTGGAGAGCCGAGTGGTGGCACCGAGGCCAGGGGGCAACGTTAGGGGGTGATAGGCTCTGGGGTGGATGCATCGACTGCCGATCGCCCATTCGTCGCCGATTGGGGCCCGAGAGCCCCCCGACCCGCCCACAAGCGTGTGGGCTCGCTATCTCGAGCCCATCGCCGATGCATCGGCTATGCATCGCCGATTCCAGGTCGATGCTTCCCCCACACCCCCAAGCGGGTCCCTCCCTAACGTGGCCCCTCGAGGACGAGCGGGGGGGGGGGCAGGAGGTGGGCATGGAAATGGCCGAGTCGCGAAGCGGCGGACACCCAGTAGGAGGCCGGGCCTCTGGCGCGGGGGAGGGCGGGGGAGGAGCAGGAGCGGGCGGGGAGGGGGGGGGGGGGAGGAGGCAGGGAGGGGGGGGAGATGCGTTTGGTTGTCTGACGTGTGCCGCAGCACGAGGTTGCACATCGACTGCAGGCTATCTGTGTGTGTGTTCTCTGCATTCGGTTCGTCTGCTGTCTTCGACGTCTTTCGAAACTTAGGCTCGACAGTCTGCGATGCGCTTTGTCGGCACGATGAGGGAAGCTCCCACGAATCATTGTCCTTCTCGGGAGCTATTTCGTCGGGTCCCCCCGTGTTGGCCCCACCTGTGCGGATTTCGTTTTGTCTTGACACTTGGACTACCTGCATGTTGGTGCGCTGTGTTTGGGTGCCGCGGCCGCGCTTCGGTCTCGGGCGTATGGCTTTCGGGTACTGCGGCTCGCTGTTCGATGCCACGGTTCTGTGAACTGGTTCGTCAGCAGTTTGAGGGGAAGATCTGCGGATAGAGGATCATGAAGGGAGGGGGATGGTGGATGGAGGAGGTGATGAGGGGCGAAAGGGGGGGAGTGAGGAGGAGGAGGAGGAGGACGAGGAGGAGGAGGAGGACATGACGTTGGTCGGACGGGCCAGGGAAGATCACTAGAGGGCCAGACGGTACGGTTCGTCAGATTTCCGGTCACAGCACTGGGGTGATACAGGCAAAGCTCAGGAGGAACATGAAGCACACAGACACACGGAAACGTCGAACTCCGGGAACATCACTATTGAACATATGGGAAGTGGAGGGGAGAGGATCATCCGGGGAATGCGTAAAAATACAGGGAATCTTGGCATTCGTGTCTACTTCTTTGTGTCTCCCTGGGCCCCTTCACAAGCACCCTCCTCCTCGCCTATTTCCTCCTCCGCACGGCAGATCCCTGTCGTGTCGACGCGTCCGTGGCCCTGCCGCGGGAGTTCCAGGTCGAACGCCGCTGGTGGCCCAGAGCCGGCCAATCTGGACAGATCCGGCGACGACGACGACGAGCACCGCGTACGGGAGGCCCGAGATGCGCCAGCGCGCCGGCGACCCCGCCGCGGGCGTTCCAGGTTGGACGCCGCCAGTATGTGAACGAAGCGCATTATTTTCGTATTTGAAATCGTAGAGCGATGCGTAGGCTTCGTGGTATTAGGACCGACTTCAGATACCTGTTTTGGAATTTCCGTGAGATTGCCCGCGCTGTGCGCAAAGCGGGTTCGACCACCACGGAGCGATCTGGCGACGGGAGCGCCGCCGATCGAGCGAGGCGGAAGGATCCGCGCGGCGTCCAGGGCCGACGGCGGGACCGTCACGACGCGAGCCCGCCGCATCCTCCTGCGCCTCCCTGTGCAGCGGGCTCGCGCCGCCTCGGCGCGGCGGGGAGCCCCGGGCGGGTGCGCTCAAGACTGCACGCGGCCAGTGGCCCCGGAGCCGGCGGACATCGAGCGAGCTGCGCCGTCGGGGAGCCGCGATCGTTCTATGTCGGGGGTGGAGAGACCTCGTACCCTGACACGTCGATTAGCGAACTGGGCGTTTTCGGTTCGCGAGAGGGCGTCACGGCCGTCATTTGCGCGGGTCCAGGTCCGTCGGTTTCGGTCCTAGGCCGTTTTCATTAGAAAGGGAGGTTTGCTAAAGGGAGGTTTGTCCACCGCGGACTAAGGCTGAAGATGGTGTCCAGGATCGACGGAGTTGGCACCTCTGCTTCGGCGGATGGCGGGAGCGGGTCGGCGGAGGCCCGCGGAAGTTGGCGGAAGTCAAAAGATGCACACTCAAAATCGAAGACAGCATAATTGTAAGTCGGGCCTGTCCCTCTACAGGAGGCATGTTCAATCATTCGTCGGGGGACGATGTTTTACCATAGGGGGTATTAAAGGGTTGACCACGTTTGAGCATTTAGGGGGTACTTTTGAGTATGTTTGTTAAAACATGTTCTCGCCCCAAATCCTCCTGTGGGGGGACAGGCCCGACATAAACAGAATTACATAAAGATAAATGTTCGATTGTCCGCGCGGGTGTCTTGGATCTGCGCTGGAGCCCCCTGGCAGCGCCTCTGGCGCCGCCCCGAAATCCACGCCGAGCGTCAAAGGTTAATGTTTGCCCTCCCCTCCCGCTCCCCGTGCTTGGGGGAAACAGGTCGAGCCTCTACCACAACGTGCTGGAGGCGGCGGTCGCGGGCCCTCACCAGGACCCCCCCTCTGCGCAACGGTTTCGCGAGGACGACGACGACGACGACGACGACAACGACGGCGCCGCCGCCGCCGCCGCCGACGACGACGGGGACGAGCACGACGAGGACAACAACAACAACAGCAACAACAACAACAACAACATCAGCAACAACAACACCAGCAACAACAACAATCATTTTAAGACTGTTCGCCTTTATCTGCTCGAGTGTCCAATAATGCATATTTCCCAAACCCTCGATACCCGTCCTCTTCCCTGCAGGCCGGGCCCCAGCAGGCCGGGCCCCGGCAAGCGGCGGGGCGGCCGCGGACCGTCGGCTTGGCCAGCGGCAGCGCTGATCGGCGGGGCGGCCGCCGACCGTCGACCCGACCCCAAGAGGGACGGACAGGGGACCGACCACGACAACGACGATGACGACGACGACGACGACGTCGACGAAGACGGCGACGACGACGAGGACGACGGCGACGACGACGACGAGCGAGAGCGAGAGCGAGAGAGAACGACAGCAGGGCCACAAGGACACGAAGTAGGCCACGAAGGCGACAGCGGGGACAGGAAGGGAGTGTGTATGGGGCCACGAAATGCGCGAACGAGCGGGGGCCATGAAGGGCAGATAATGCGGGGCCACAGATGGCATCGATGGGGCCACTGAAGGTAGCAACTGGGCCACGTAGGACAGTGAGAGGGGCCACAAACGGCCACAGCGGGGCCACGAAGGGCATGGACATGGGGCCACAACGGGCGCGAACGAACGGGGGCCACGAAGGGCATACGTATACTGGGCCGCGGAGGGCAAGGACGGGACCACTGAGGGCAGCAACGGGGCCACGAAGGGCAGCGAGGGGGCCACGCAGGGCGACAGGGGGGCCACGGAGGGCATGCATATGGGGCCACCGGGCGAGAAAGAGCGGGGGCCACGAAGGGCATACATATTTGGGGCCACGGAAGGCAGCGAGGGGGCCACGAAGGGATGCAACTGGGCCACTAAGGGCAGCGAGGGGGCCACGAAACGAAGGGCTGCAACGGGGTCGCGAAGGGCTGCGACGGGGCCACCAAGAGCAGCGAGGGGGGCACGAAAGGCTGCAACGGGGCCACGAAACAAAACGAGGGGGCCACGAAAGGCTGCAACGGGGCCACGAAGGGCAGCGAGGAGGCCACGAGGGGCTGCAACGGGGCCACGAAGGGCAGCGAAGGGGCCACGAAGGGTTGCAACGGGGCCACGAAACAAAGCGAGGGGGCCACGAAGGGCTGCAACGGGGCCACGAAAGGCAGCGATATCCCGATTCATATGTAATCTGTGAGGGAGTCCTAAGCGTGAGCGCGACTCATGGGTGCCTGGGTGTCGGGGGCGCGGCGCTTGAGTAAATTGCAGGAGTTTACAACGCAAGGGCGCTATTCTTTAGTAGATTGCAAGCGGGTCCCCAGCGAGAGCGCGCTTCCAGAGCGCCGGGAAAGCGAGTCCTGGAAAAATTGCAAGGAAGTCCAACGCGAGAGCGCGATTCCTAAATAAAATGCGAGGAAGTCTCTGGCGGGAGCGGGGGTCATGGCTAAATTGTGAGGAGGTCTCAGACGGGAGCCGTTGTTGCTACAACCCGGGGCCAGGCGCCCAGTTTGAGCTTCACGATTTTAGCGACGAGGGGCTTTTTGATTGAGAAAAAGCAGTATGCTCCAGAAAGGAGAATTTTTACAAAAACAACAACACCACCACCACCAACAACAACAACACCAACAACACCAACAACAGCAACAACAACAATTACTAGCACGTGGGGACACTCCGTTCTCACCAGTGCCAGGGTTTTCATACGACGCCCGCCAATACCCCCACTTTGTGGGGGGGCCGGTTCAAGCTCTACCACATTTCCAAACGACTCTTCGCCACCACCCACACCCAGCTTCCCGCCCTATGACGTTCGGACACTTCACTTCGTGGCCTGCGGACGACCGTGGCTACTACACTGGCGCATGGGTACAGTGACTTGTTGTGGTAACATTTTCTGGACGCTAGCTTAGTATACGACTTTTCCCCCTGTTCCAACACTGGACACCTGTACTGGTTTTTGGTGGTAACGTGTTCCTGACGCTAGAATAGGAAACCACGGTAAACCAGTACGACGCCGGTACTGTCTGTATGGTATTATTTGACAGGGATGATGGCCCTGGCAGGTGCGCAGCCGTGGTTGGAGAAGTTCGAAGCACGTGAAAAAGTTGCTCGCGAAAGCCCGTTTGACAGAATGTTTAAAAAGTGTTGGGTTTCCTACAAATCCGCAAGGGCGCGCGGGATGAAATTTTGACACTTTTGTTTTGAAAAACCATTGGTTGTTTGATGTTTTTATGTTAAAATCGCTACGAACACTAAGGTTTTGGAAGGATTTCGTTTTGCGCGCGCGAATGTCCACTTTACCTCATTTGTTGCAAGGGATTCTTGAAGTTTGGTTATGTTAGAACAAGAAATGTCCACTTTGCCTCTTTTTTTGCAAGGGAAAACCGCCCGTAACAAAACAACCGGATCCGGACCAACCCGTTTTGCCGGAGACTTCCTCACGAAAATGATGAAAACATGGCTGCGGCCTAGGCGCGGCGAGGGGGCCGCGCACCAGGGGCCCCAACAATAATTATTCTTTAGAAGTAATAATGTTCAACATCAACGACGACGACGACAACAACAACGACGACGACATTGACATCGTCGACGACGACGGCGACAACGACGACGGACGACGACGAGGAGCAGACCGTACGGGAGATCCGCGTTGTGTCAACGCGCTTGCAATGCCGCCGCGGGCGTTCAAGTTTGGACGCCGCCAGTGGCCCAGAATTGGCCAACATGGAACGATCTGGCGATCGAAACGCTGGCCGATCGTGAACGCTCCGCGCGGCGTCAGAAACCAGCGCCGGGGTCGTCCCTGCGCAAGCTTGGCGTACCCTGCCCTGCTGTCGGATACACCTGCGGCCTTGGATCAAGAGAGGAAAAATCACCCGGACCGGACAACTTGCGTTTAGTATGCGGCCCTGGGCGTTTACTAAACGGCTTCGCGTGTCGCGGTGGTTACTATCGGGGTGGGTTTTCTGCCCCCTTTATTTGATAGGGAAGAGCCAGATTGCTGCTAGCCCCTGCTGGTTTCTTAGCTGCTGCTGCCTGGGCTCGCGGAGCGGCCAATTGCTTGCCAAGTAATGGCAGATGTTCCCTAAGCCACCGCATCTCCGACGACGACGAGGACGACGACGACAACAACGACAACAACGACGCCGACGACGGGGACGACGACAACGATGGCGAGCCGTCTGGTACGACGACAACGACATCGACATCGACCTTTTCCTGACGACGACGAACATCGACGACGCCAAGACCTTCGGTGTACGGACCAAGAGCCAAACGACAGCACACTCTCTCCAAACCGAACCCAATCCAGAAACGATGCCTAGATAAGCTGCCCTTTTCGGAAGACGTTGCATCATTCGGATACTTTGCGGAGCCTGAATGGACTGGAGGCCTGTTGGATGCCTCTTGTGCGGCTCAGGGGCCTCTTGGAGGGTCTTTGTGGTCTCTTGGGAGCCTCCTGGGGCTTTTGTGGGGCTCTCTTGGAAGGCTTTAGGCCTTCTGTGGACCACCATGGAAGACATTGATCGCAGAATTGTGGGTCCTGAATTCCCCAATCAGAGCTTGCCTTTGTAGGGGTCATAGCGGATTCATACGGTTAGGTGAGGTATGGCGCCGATTTCGGCTGCACGCCCTGTTGCCCGGGTGCCCAAGTGCCCGGGTGCCCAGGTGCCCAGGGTCCCAGGTGCCTGGGAGCCCGGGTGCACGGTAGCCTAGCCCGGGTGCCGGGTGCCCGCGGGTGATATAGCAATAGCCCTATAGCTTGATAGCCCTATAGCCTTATAGCCCTATAGTCATAATAGCCCCATAGCTCAATAGCCATATAGCCCAATAGCGCTATAGCCCTATAGCCTGGGTGCCCGGGTGCTTGGGTGCCCAGGTGCTCGAGTGCCTGGGTGCCCAGGTGCCAGGGTGCCTGGGTGCCCGGGTGCCCGGTAGCCCGGGTGCCCGGGTGCATGCCCAGGTGCCCGGGTGCCCGGGTGCCCAGGTGCCTGGTAGCCCGGGTGCCCAGGTGCCCGGGTGCCTGGGTGCCCAGTAGTCTTGTAGCGTTATAGTTCTTTCGTTGTATAGCCCTGAAGCCTTGTAGCCCTATAGCCTGATGGCCCTACAGCCCTATCGCCCTAATAGCCCTGTAGCCCTATAGCCTCATAACCGTATACCCCTATAGCCATGCTGCCTATAGCCTTATAGCCCCACAACCTATAGCCCCATAGCCCTGTAGCCCCATAGCCGTATAGCCCTACAGCCATAGCCTTGTAGTCCTAGAAATAATCTGATTTGGGCTTCCCTCCGGTACTATTAGAGCTGCGATATGAGTTCCCCAACATCGTCTTTTGGGGCACGTTTCTGGATCCTTTTTGGACCCCTTTTGGGTCTCTCTTGGCCTCTTGGAGCCAGGTTGAGGCCTCGGAATGCCATCAGAAGCGAACGGGTCAGAAGGCCAACATCAGTGATGTTCCATTGTGGTCCACTGGTCTTGGACAAAGTTAGGACTCTTGGTGGCGTCATGAGGAGCCCCCAAGGCCACTTGGATCCGTCTTGAAGCGGTCTTAACCCCTCTTGGAGTATGTTGGAAGCCATCTAGAGCGATTTGGCGCTATCTTGAGCCATCTTGGAGGCCACCTTGCATAATCTGATACCCTCGAAGAGCCATCTGTTGCCATCTTGGACGCTCCAACGACCTGCGGGGGGCCCCGTCCAGACCCAGGGTGAGTGGGTAAGGGGGAGGGGTGAAGGCACCCAGGATTCCTCACTGCTCCCCAGGCTCGCCGCCGACCTCCTCTCCCCTCTCGGGCGCCCCGTCCTCCCCCGCGGGCCGGGACGGGGCCCCTCCTGCCCCCACGCCGGAGCGTTCGCCGCCGCGGGCCCCGACGGCGCCGCGCGCCCGTCCGCCTCCTCTCGGGCGTCCTGCGCTCCCCCGCGGGCAGAGATGCCGTCGTCGGCGTCGGCGTCGGCGTCGGCGTCGGCGTCGTTCGGGGTGCGCAGGAGCTCGTGGCCAAGACCGTGGCGCAGATGCGCCGTTGCGGCGTGCCTCCGGGGGGGGCCCGGGAGGTCCCAGCAGGCATGGAAGGAGCCGCGCGCTGGAGGAGGAGGAGGTGCAGTCAAGACGATGGTATCAGGACCCCTTTGGGTTTCTGGGCCCGTTCCTTCGACATGATGCCGTGGAACCTGTTTGTGGATTAGAACAGCCCTTTCGTTCCCTATTATGCGTTCCTGATGGTAGCACGATGGCTGCACGGCATGTGGCAAGAGTAGGACGAGGAGGGGGGAGGCGGGAGAGGGAGGAGGAGTAGGACTGGGAGGACGGGGAGGAAGAGGGGGAGGAGCAGAACGATGAGGAGGGGAAGCGGAGAGGGGGGCGGCGGTGGGCATCAACAACAGCAGCTCCAAGGTGAAGGGCGTCCCATGATACTCGGAAGGGAGAGCGCGATGAGGTATAAGGTTTGAGGAGGAAGTGGACGAGGAGGATGAGGAAACGAGGAGGGGGACGAGGGTAAGGCGGGGGAGATGACGAGGACGAGGAGAGCAGTGGACGAAGCAGGAGGAGGAGGACGGGAGGGCCGACGAGAAACAAGACGAGAAGGAGGAGTGGAGGAGGAGGAGGAGGAGGAGGAGCAGGAGGAGGAGGAGGAGGAGGAGGAGGGAGGGAGAGGGAGGAGGGGAGGCGGTGGTGAGGTCGTCAGCAACAGAAGCAGCAGCTCCAACGATAAAGTATCGTCGCGAACGGTATTCGCAACACCAGTAGCAACTACGGGGCCAGGGGTAAGATAATGACGGTAGTAGACGGGTAATATGGATGACAGGAGTCGACACAGAAGGACTATATCGTGGACAGTTGTTAGTTTGGCGCGGTATTTGCAGTTGGACGACGACGTGGAGATGTAGGACGACGAACGAGGAAGGGGTTGACCCGGGCCATGCAACAAGCGGTGCCCTGGGCGGAGCTCGTTTGCCAGTGTTGGATGACCCGCTTGCGATACAGGCGCACCGCTTTCATGAATTTGTATGGGCGCTTGCCATGGGCGCAGGGCGCAGGAACAGCGGGGCATATTTCTGCCACAGGCTTGGCATCGCTTGGACGTGTGCATGCTTTCTCGGCGATGACCATCGAGCTTCGACTTGGATAATCTTGCGAACAGGTAAACGCACGAAGCTGGAAACGGCTCGGGGAATGGGCCTTCGAGCGATGGCACGGAAGAGCATTCTGGCTGGCCAGACCTGGAATCCATGCTCTGCCGAGCACGTCGCCAGGTGAGCTTTCGCGAGGCAGTGGATGCGGGGTGCTTTGCGGAGCCCGCGCCCGCCCTCCTCCTGAGCGGGCGATGCTCCCCTCCCTCCCCTAACCCCTTCTCGGCGGCGAGCGAGGGGGGGAGGTGAGCAGGAGAAGGCCTCCTCCGAAGGCGGCGGGACTGCTCAGAAGCCCTCGCACGCGAAAGCAGTGCACGCACGAGGCTGGAAAATGCGCGGGGAGTGGACGCCCGAGCGATGGCGAGCCCCCCCTTCTCCTGCCTCCCTCCGCCCCCCTCCCTTCCCTCGGCTTCGGCGCCCCCTCCCTCCCGCTCGCTCCTTCCCCTCCCCCCCTTGGGTCGCCCTGGGTCGGCAGGGCTTGGTGCGAGGCTCCGCGTCGGCGCCGGCGCAGCAGGCCCCGCCGCGCGTGGCTGGGCAGTCTGCCTCGGCCTGGGGGTCCTGCGTGGGCTGCCGCGGGCAGTGCTCTCGGGTGCTGGGTTTGGTCCTGGCAGCGGAGGGCGGAGCGGCTGCTACGGGGCGTGAAAAGGACCACAGCCACTGCTTTTCTTTTGTTGCCGCCTTCCAGCCCGCAGAAACAAAGCAGTGGTTGTGGTCATTTTCCTTGAGCGTGGCACCAGGGAAATGACCACAACCACCACTTCTTTTTCGGCCGGCTGGAAGGCGGCGCAAAGAAGAAGCAGCGGCTGTGGTCATTTTCTTGTCCCGTGAGCTGCTTCTCCGGCTTTGTCCCGCGGGGCCTGAGGCCGGGCTCTGCCGTCCACCCTCGCCGCCGACGCGGTCCTCCGTTCTCGGACGGGGCCAGGACGAGGGTCAATCCGTTTCAGAGCGTTCTGGCACGCTCTTCTCAGAGCCTTCCAGAACGCTCTGAGCAGGCTGCGGCGCCCCTCCCTCGACCCCCTTTCTCCGCCTCCCTCCCTCCCTCCCGTTCCCGCCCCTCCCAGAAGAATGGCGTGGCTTGGCTGGGTGGTGCTGGGCGAGCTGGGTCAGGGCCAGGCCGGGCCAGGGACAGAGCTCCGCCCAGGAATGGGCGGGCCTCTTCGGCCACGCGCAGGAGGGGTCTGGGGAGGGGGCAAGGTCTGCCTTAGCACTGGCCTCAAGCTCACAGCACCTCCTAGAGCCCAAACACGGTTACACATGTTCGTTTTTCATAGGTTTTTCTCATCGTGTTGGTTTTCATATGTTCCCTGTCTGGGCCTGCACCAAAACACAGGCAACGGCCGTCCCTCCCTTCCCTGCCCTATCCATGAGGTTCGACGTTGCGAAGCAGATACAGCAGCGTAGAACATCACGACAGGGGCCCTAGAGCCCTCCCTGTGCGATCCATGAGCGCGAAAGCTCGGGAGGAGGAGGAGGAGGAGGAGGAGGAGGAGGAGGAGGAGGAGGAGGAGGAGGAGGAGGAGGAGGAGGAGGGAGGGCGATGACGACGACGAAGGGCAAGAAGCAGCACAGCGGGGCAGAAGGCCTACACTCTGGGCTCCGGGTTCCGGCGCAACCGCGGTGTTCTCATATGGGCTCCACTTTTTTTTTCGTGCACCTACACTTTCCCCGCCAGCAGTGACGTTGGTGTGAGTAGCAAGCAACTCGCGCTCTGCTGATGCAGCTCATCCTTTTGAGACATCGGACCGTTGGCTCGCAAGTGCTATTGTCTTGTCATGTCCTCCCTCCCTCCTCCCTCCTTCCCGCCCTCCCTCTTCCCTCCCTCCCCCATGCGCTCTGCATCCGCCCTGCCAGGTGCCGCCCCGCGGCGAGATTCTCACCGCCACGCTGGGCAGGAGGTGAGCCGCGAGCGCGGGCCGCTTCGCCCCAAGCCGCGGACCGGGCCATGCCCCGCGAGAAGTAAGAAAAGGCGCAGATGCGGGCGCGGACTTGGACGTCGACGAGGACTCAGACCTAGGCCTTGCCTCTACCCTTGCCTCGTTTTCGCCTTTGCGGGCCTCCTGCGAGGTCCTCGTCGTCATTCTCGTCAGAACGCACCCCAGGAGAGGTCCAGGGAGTTGCGGTATCGGTATCTTATGGCCTTTCCATTGGCGACGACGACGACGACGACGACGACGACGGCGACGGCGACGGCGACGGCGACGGCGACGGCGACGACGACGACGACGACGACGACGACGACGGCGGCGGACGTTTCCACAATCTCGGGGATGCGATCCGGCAGCTGCTCCCTGCCCAGAGCGTTGCGGGGGGGCCCGGGTCGTCCCGAGCTGCCGCAGAGTTCCGGCTTGGAGGTGGAGGAGGAAGATGGAGACAGGAGGAGGTGGAGGAGGAGGAAGATTGAGACAGGAGGAGGAGGAGGAGGAGGAGGAGGAGGAGGAGGAGGAGGGGGAGGGGGAGGGGGAGGGGGAGGGAGAAGGGAAAGGAGGTGGGGGGTGGGGAGGAGGAGGAGGTGGAGGAGGAGGAGGGGAGGAGGAGTGGGAGTAGAAGGAGAAGCGAGAAGGAGCATGGATACGGGAGGAGGTGGGGGGAGAGAGGAGAGGACGGAGACGTTTGTGGGAGATTTTCTGGTTTGGTGTGGCGTGTATCAGAATCCAGTTGCCGTCTAGTTTGGATAGACTTAGAGTCGTAGGCCAAGCTCAAGGCTAAAGTAGAAGAGAAGTTGGAGGGTGAGGGGGAGGAGGAGAAGAAGGGAGGAGGAGGGGGAGTTGAAGGGGGAGGACGGAGACGGACCGAGGGGGAGTGGTAGAAGAGGGAGGAGGAGGGAGAGGGGAGGAGGAGAGGGAGTAAAAGGAGGAGGAGGAGGAGGAGGAGGAGGAGGAGGAGGAGGGGGTTGAAGGAAGATGCGTGAAGTCGCGCGGCGCGGTTGTCGATGCCGTGTTCCCCTGAGTGTCTCGGGCCCAGGCCTGTCCGCTTTGTGCGGTAAAGCGGCCAGGCTTGGCGGTAGCAAGAATCCAGCCGGCGTCAGGACGCTAGGCCAGGCGCGGACATTTGTGCAAGGGATGACGGGAATGAGGAGGGGGAGGAGGAGGATGTGAAGAATGAGGCCTGCTACTTCTCGCCCTCCGCTCCCAGTCCTCCTTTGGGCTCCGTTGTTTTTCTTGTGAAACCACTTCAATTGTCTGGTGCGGCCTTTTTGCAGTTTCCGGTCTGGGCCTTTCAGCATGAGATGGGTTAAGTTCGAATGGTAATCGACCCGTCCCGCCATTGCGACTGGGTTGCGTTCTCGAACCCTTGCGGCCACGTCAGAGGTTCGTGAGGAGGTTCTCTCCGGGGCATCTCTGGCCGATCGATGCGCGCATTGGAGCCTCGGGGTCGGCCTGGTCGGTCCCTCCCTCTTGGGGTCCTCTTGGGCCAGTCTGGAGGGCCTCTTGGGCCATCTTGGACGTTGCCGCCTGACTTTACAAGAGTGTTCGGATCACACAGCAGCCTTAAGGATGCAGCCGAGTCTGGTTCCTTGGGCCTGCCCGCAGGACATCCAGGACGACCCTCCTCGAGACTCCCAAGAGCGCTGAATTCGGCCGAAGTTGGCCCCGACAGGGCTCCAGCGGGCGTAGGTGGCCCAAAGTGAGACTCCTTCGTCCTCCCCTTGTTCGGTCTCTACCCCGCGCCTCCTCATGATCATCCTCGTTCTTCTCCCCCTCCCGTTCTCTGTGGGGGGCTGGCTGATTTGCCCTCGCCCGCCATGGTAGCCAGGGCTACCCCAGAGTCCGTGGCGCCTCCATTCCACACGGTTGCCACTTGTTCAAATAATGCATGAGTTTGTTTGTTGCGATTATGCTGGACATTTCTCAGGTGCCTTGCTTGCAAACCTCAGTTGTGAGACGTTGAGGTGTCAGTATGACTTTCAGACATCGGCGTGCGCGAGGTTTTGTGGGAACCGCGCCAAGTTGAATTCTTCACGCTTCGCGTATCCCCACCAGCCCATCTCAAAACAGCAAGTCTTGCGAAGCATGCGGACAGTCGTGTTTTTCAGGCGTGTTTCCGCCTGCCCCCGCATATCTCCCCTGTTCCTCCTTCCTCCCGCCTCCTTGTACATCCTTCTTGTGGTGGGAGCGGGAGAGGAGGAGGGAGAGAAAGCGGTGGGAGGCAAGAGGGATTTAGCGGAGACGACGACCACAGCGATGATCTTAACAACGACGACGCACCCGACGACGACGACGATATCGACCGCGACGACGACGACGACCACAACCGCGACGACGACGACGACGACGACGATGACGACGTCGACGACGACGACGACGAAGGCGGCGGCGACGACGACGACGACGACGACGACGACGACGACGACGACGACTGGTGGGAGTCGTTGGGGCCCCTCGTGGGGTGAGTCGTTCGGCCCCATCGTCCTTGTGTGAGTCCTTCGGGCCCCTCTTCCTGGCGTGAGTCGTTCGCGCTCCTCGTGGTGTGAGTCGTTCGGGCCCCTCGTCCTGGTGTGCGTCGTTCGGGACCCTCCTTGTCCGCGAGTCGTTCGGGCTCCTCAAGGTGTGAGTCGTTCGGGCCCCTCGTCCTGGTGTGAGTCGTGCGGGCGCCTCCTTGCGTGTGAGTCGTTCGGGCTCCTCGTGGTGTGAGTCGTTCGGGCCGCTCGTCCTGGTGTGCGTCGCTCGGGCCCCTCCTGGTGTGTGAGTCGTTCGGGCTCCTCGTGGTGTGAGTCGTTGGGGCCCCTCGTCCTGGGGTGAGTCGTTCGGGCTCCTCCTCCTGGTTTGAGTCGTTCGGGCTCCTCGTGGTGTGAGTCGTTCGGGGTCTCTCGTCCTGGTGTGAGTCGTTCGGGCTCCTCGTGGGGCCTCTTGGGGGCCTCTTGGAGCCTCTTGGGGCCTCTTGGGGGCCTCTTGAAGGCCTCTTGGGGGCCTCTTGGGGGCCTCTTGGAGCCTCTTGGGGCCTCTTGGTGGCCTCTTGGGAGCCTCTTGGGGACCTCTTGGGGCCGGGGGGGGCCTCTTGGGGGCCTCTTGGAGGCCTCTTGGGAGCCTCCTGGGAGCCTCTTGGAGCCGTCTTGGGGCCTCTTGCGACCTCCTCAGAAGCGCAAATGAGCGCTGGCCCCTGAGAAGGACAAAATGAGGCCAAAACCTTCGTAAAGTCAATGATTTTGCTATGAAGGAAGAGGAGCGCGGCCCCCTCAGAAGGCTAAAATGGGGCCAAAACCGTAGTAAAATCAATGGTTTCTGCTTCAAAGACGGTCTGAGGCGCCAAACTCCCCCCCCCCTCGGGGCCCGTTTTTTGGCCCTCCCAGGAGTCAAAAAAGACCCCCCTGACGACGCCCCGGGCTCCCTCTCCAGGCCCAGGGGGAGGGGGTAGGGGGAGGAGTAAACCCCTCCCCGAAGGGGAAGAAGGGGGGCTGGGGGGTGGAGAACAGAGAGAGCTCGCTAAACCACTCACGCCCAAAGGGCTGGTGGGACTATTCCCCGGCGTGTCGCTGGAGAGGAGGTCAGTCCGCCGGTAAGAGGGCGAGCGCGCCAGAAAAAGCCTGAGAATCGGGAAAGCGGCGGGGGAAACCCTTGAACGGAAGAGCGCTTTGCGGCTGGGCGCGGGAGCACAGCCGCCAGCGGCCGCGCCAGGGAGAAGGGAACACCGCAGCGAGAGCCTCATTGCAGCTCCCCCCTCCCAGGGGCGGCCGCAGCCGCACGGGGACCGCCCTGGGACGACCACCCCGGGGCTCCCCCGCTCCAGCGGGGTCGGCACCCCCTCCCCTCCCGCGCGCGCTTGGGCCTGCCAGGGATCTGGAGGCCGCTCGGGCGCTGGACCTGCGCCGCGGGTGAGATGCGTACGACGGGCTGGCGTGGCGGAGTCCCGGGAGTCAGGCTCTCCCCTCGGGGTTCGGGGTTCGTTCTGGTTGTTCCTCGCTGTCTTGTCCTGTCTTGGCCGCGCGAAGTAGGACGGGCATATAATCGACATGACTCCGTTCCAGAACGCGTCCAGACAAACGGTTCTGGGGAAACGTTCTTCTGGGGAAGATGTCTCCAGGGAAGAGGTTTCCGGGGAAACGACCCTCCGGGGAAGCGGTTCTGGGGAAACGGTTCCCGGGAAGAAGGTTTTGGATCGGTCCCTCCCTCGGACCCCATCGAAACCGAATCGAATCGGAAGAGTCGAAATGAGCCCTCTCTCCCAATTCTTGCCTACGGCTCGGTTCTACTCTGCCGATTCAAGTCGGTTCGATGTCGATGGTTTCTGAGTCCGATTCCGTTCGGCTTCGGATTCCGATTTGGGTTCCGATTTTTCGACGGAGGCCTTTTAGCTTGCCGATTTCCGCCGATTCAATTGCTACGGACTTGGCTGCCGATTCCCGCGGCCCGACTCATTTCGATCGCCGATCCGACTTATCGATTCGATTTTGGGAGTTGCTGCCCACGTCCTAACCCCCCGCCCAGGACATGGAGCACGGCATGTCCTACCGTGGGCAACCGTTGTGACTAAACAAGTGGGGAGTCGAACACTTCACCCGAGCGAGATTGCACCGATGGACGCACGCGTGGTATTTTTCTCTGCCTACATGCGTGTACTCTCCTCGCCCGAGGCTGTCCCAAACTTTGACCGCCAAGGTGACTCTCGACGTAGGGCTTATCCCTGCCCCGCGCCCCCTCCTTCTCCTCCTCCTCCTCCTCCTCCTCCTCCTCCTCCTCCTCCTCCTCCTCCTCCTCCTCGTCCTCACATGTGTGCAGCTCCCTCCTCCGCGCATGAGACGATAGGATGTTTTTTGGGGGGTTCCAGGTCGGGTTTGACGCGCGTCCGCGGACAGGGAAACAATCAGCGCAATTGGCAGGGATGGGAGGGAGGAGCCGGATGCCAGACGTGACGTGAATGCGCCTAGCTTGTCACTGGCCCTGTTTCCCTCCCTTCCTCGCCCC